CGAGCGGATCGATGAATGTGTTGGTTTTACAGTATGTTTATTTAGTTTTTTGTTTGTTGACCACTTTTCTACCAGCAATAACTTTGCTCCGATTTATAATGATAGCACTTTTTCTGACAGGAAATATGACGGAAGCTGGTACTTTAGGGAAATCATTTTTTCGATTTCCCCAATAAATAAGAAAAACTAGGAAAAACTGAAAAAAAAACTTAGGAAAAATGGGAAAAAACCCGGGCACAATGTTAAAGAATTATTGTTAAAAAAAATATATATATAATGCGTATGTATTATTATTTTACCATAATATAACATATTATGATATATTGTTGACAAAGCAATACTATTAACCTAACTCTGCTCAGAATCGTTTTACGTAAGCAGTGGTTAACCGTTGCGTATTAAATTTCCCCTCTACCTTCCCGACTTCTCACCTACAATAGTGGCTCTCTCACGTATGATGTATGTCCATCTTTTTCAGGCCAAACCTGTTAAATAAAACGGATATTAATAGTTTAATAGAGATGCGCTTAGTCGTTATTTTCTTTGCCTTTAGTTTAACTAATTACACGGTCACTTAAAAATATAAACAAATAAATACTAATATCAAAATGCCGGTTCAAATATGAACAAGATCAAAACTGTACCATTAAAAAGTCAAACACCTTTTGCATCATGGGTAGGCCACTGTAACAAGTGGGAAATTTGAAATTTATTGGATATAGGTTAATTTAATTAAATTACTTCATAAACAAAACGCAACGATGTATCGTTGCAATCAAATACCGATTCTGAACGAAGTAATATTAGTCGTGTTTTTATTTGGCCAAGTAACCCGGGAATCAACAGAAATGAGACCGATGTATTAACATTTTTGGAAAAACATTATTTATTTGCATCTGCAATTTAATGGAGGGGTGCTTGCTATTTAAAAATCCAAAGTTGATTTCAGGTATAATGAGTAGGAGTAAGAAATTTGAAATAGTGTTAAAATAAAGCTTAAACGATTCCATAATTTTGGATTACAAAACCATAGTTTAGTCACCTATTAAGATTGGTCCAATACACACAATAGAGTCGATATAAAATCTGTTTTTTTTTTTTTAAATTTTTATCATTTAACTGTAACATTCAACGTCGACCTAATTGCTCTAACCAGCCGTTATTATCTCTTTTAAACATTGAACCGTTTGTGATACGTAGAAAAAGATTAGATCTCTGTTTCATTTTTAAACTACTTAATGGACAAGTTTACTGTCCTGAATTACTTCAAAGCTTCTGGTCCCTAGTCGTAGCAATAAACGACTAAATACCTTTTATGTACCATTACAGTCCACCAATTATGGCCGAAATTCTCTTATGAAAAGTGGTATGGATTTGGTCGATTTATTTCATATAGATTTATTATCATGTACAACTATTGATATATTTAATGTATATTTAAATAGTATAATACATTTATAAATTGGTTAGAATTACTAAAATTCCAAAACCTATGATTGATGTATTTTTTGTATATATATTTATATTGTAATTAGTTTAATTTAACGATGTTAACGTACATTAAAAATGCACGAACAGCTATTTAATAAGGTGTAGTAACTAAGATTTTAAATTAGATAATTATACGCTTCCGATCATATTTTTTTCATTTAATTGGGCATCTTTTTTACCCGTCCAAATAAATAAATAAATAATAATTAAAAAAATTAGAAAATAAATCAAATTCATTTAAAATCCTCCAAGAAAATCGCTGGTTCACGATGAAATAATTACCCTGTATAAGTAGTCAATTCGTAGACATTTATTTGACCGTAACTTTATGTCGACTATTTTGTGTTTCGCAGATATTCCACTTGAAAAATATCTTTTATTCTTAATTCATTATTACGAATGATAATAATAATGGACGCGGGAACTTCAGCACTCGAGTCTCGTCCCGTCCACGTCGTCGTCAAGACCAGCCGTACATGAGTGACGTGACGTCCCGCACCGTTAATTGTCTGCAGGTATTCACTATTTATGTACAATAATATAGTAGCTATAAGCGTGTTTATTATTTTTTCATTTTTAAAGTCAGAAATGCGTACCGTACGGCGCATTATTTGACACTAAGTCCCGTGATATCAGCCATACAATGTACCCATATAGATGTCATTCGTGATGTAGGCGGATTAGTCGGCATTTCGATTCAGCCGCCCCCGAGCCGTGTATCATTACGACGTTATCCGTTTTATATAAATACTACTCATGGCTGAAAGCAAGGACCGACGAAACATCGGTCCGGCGACAATAACTTTGACGAGCCTACTCCGCAGAGCAAACATCACGCCGCGGTATAATCGTGTTTATGAACGTTTTACAGACTCACCTATATCCGCAAGACCAGATTAAGAGTTTACAGAGGCCGGTAGCCCGTAAGGTCCCAACACGATTTATTATCGATAACTTAACGTTACCTCTTTGAAAAATGTACACGAGTGTACAGGTTGTACAGGACGATCTGTTTAACAATGTCCTACGTGTTTACGCGTCCGTTATGGCGGTCAATTTTCGATTACGTATACAACATTATCGTTTGAATGCAAAAATAGCATATATTAGAATACGTTGTTTTATTACTAAAATATTTTCTTATTTTTCCACGACCCTGAATAGTACATAATATAATAGTGTCGGGTGTGTAATTTGTATAAATACGTTTAAAAAGTTCATGATAAATTATACGTTATAAATTGTAATGAAAATCATTATTTCCACTTAAACTACGCGAAACGTAGTTGGCGAACCGGACAGCAAGACGAACGATATCGTCGGCAGACATTGTTGCGTGACACTCACGGCGACAAGCTATATATTATTATAACGAAGTGTATCGTGCGTTTTTCTTCCTCGTGGTCGTTTAAAAAACCGCAGCGTAAACCGATGAGTTGTATGGGTACGTATAACAACACACTATACGGCATGCTGCAAGCAATGCGGATAAATAATTATCGATTATTTACGAACATTTCCGACTCGACTTTAAAACGCCCGACACACTTGTCGGGCGAAATAACGGGTGTTCGGGTCGAACGGGAAATGTCAAGTTCGGGCGAAACGGGTCGCGCCCGCGAGTACAGTATCATTTACTATACAGCGGTATTATATTATATTATTATTATTTTATACACGTCCCGTTACCGAACCGTTTGAACGATGCGATGCGATATTTTTACGGGGAAATGTAATATTTTCATTCGTTTCAATCCGACACTGGGTATCTCGCGGGCGTCCGCGACAAAGCGACGTTACAGTGTAATAATATTCCGCCCCGGGGAAAGCGCGGCCAGTTCAATTCGCAGAGCGTCACGCAATACGATACGTTTCCCGTACAATAATTCATCGCGTTTTTTGTTTTTCGCGGAATCTTTCGTGGATTGGTTCCTGATCCGGTCGGATAAACGCGGCAAGTCGGTGAAATTGCTCTTTACCAACGGTGTCCGAAATCCCGAGCAAAGTCATTATATAGTGCGCATTATATTGTATCGCGTACTCTTTGTATTATATAAAATGATATTTCCACCGTAACCGCGACTACAATATTTTTTTAATAATTTGCCCGTTACACAACGACGGAATATTAGGACAGGGACAATAAAAAACAAAAACTAACTTACAGATCAGCTTTGTAAAACGTGATGCAAACCGTATAGTTGGTCAATAGTTGGGTGAGAAATATCGCCTTAGAAGGAAAAATATAGAGGAGCGACAGTTTTTATCGGGTCGCGAATGTTTTTCGTATAACAGACAGAGCGGAACGGATCCCGGAGCTGGACATTTTGTAGGAAGAAATATTATTGTATTTTTTTTTTCGACTTTCAACAAATTTCAAAAACCGCCAAATTTGAATTTTATAATATGTGCAATTCTTGGCGAATGTTATACAGATCGTATAAATGTCGAGTAGAGAGTTTTCGACAGCGATGGCGGATTTGAGTCGTCTTTTTTGGGGGGGGAGGGGGTAATATCCTTTTAGTCCGAAAATTAAACTTACCTTTAAAATTTCCTTACCAAACATGAACATAAAAGTCATAGTCAATATGATTACTAACCGCTTAATGTGATAGCATAAATATTTACAGTGGCCAGCTGGCCATGATCAAAATTAATTAACACTCTGGACTTCTATACAGACTTATACGAAATAAATTATTATTTTTAGGTAATTTGATGTCTAGAAGGGGCCATGGCTCCAATGGCTTCCCCCTAAACGTAGCACCCGGTCGGCAGTGTTGTGTTTTACCCAGATAAATAAGGTTGAAACCGGTAGGTGGTAACGTTGTCGCTGCAGGCATAGATGATAATAAATATCCAGCCGATGGGCAATTGTAGCTTAACGGCGTGTACACACGGTCGGTTTTAAGAGTTTTGGATACTGGAATATTACGTTTTGCATTCGTTGTTAAGATATATATTGGTTTTCCCGTGTCTGATAATTCGGAATGATATAAAACGTGTAAAATTAATTAACGCGTTTCTATCTAGGTGTTGTTTTAGCGTTGTTCAAAAAAAGAATACCTATAATTGTATACTGACAACAAAATATTATTATAACCACCTATTTGTATATGAAAAAAAAAAAATTAACGATTCGTTAGTAAATCAATAATAGTAAAACACGAATAAAATTTAAAAAATGAATAGGTAGAGTCCAATATTTACAATACGTTTTTCTCGGATCTTTGAAATAGCATCCAATTTCTCGAATTCAGTATTTTTATAATTATAGTTGATCTCAAACAGCTATTTACTCACTTGAATTTTGAGAAATACCGTTCAGCTGATCACTTTGTTACTGGAGTATACTGGAGTATCGTTTTCAACGAATAAACTTTAACAATGTTCGGTTTTATTATATTTGTATAGTTTTATTTGAACTTTTCGCGTGAATTTAACACATTGTTGGAAAAATGAGAATCCTATTTTTTTTTTTTTTTTTTTGTACACGCTTTGCAATGACAACTCTTTTTCTAACTTAAATTCTAGCGGCGCTGGCCTCCCCTTAAATGTGTCAAAATTTGTCCGCTCGAGGTAACTGCTTCCATAACTCTTCCTCCTAAATACCGTCCCGCTTACAAGTTTATAAGCGTAAAGAAACATAGTTTAATTCAGTATTATCATTATTCAAAACAGAAAAGTTTATACAATTTCCTAGAGGAGGGGGATATGATATCATTTTTTTGGAACACAATTTTGTCCTCTAAACATCATAGACTTTCGAAGCCTTTTGAGAGTAAAGCATCTCATAACTAATAACAGCATCCCGAACATCGTTAAAGACCTCTGGGTATATAAATATTCATCAAACCAAAAGTATTTTTTCGTCATAAAAACTAAATTTGGTTTGGCTCTTGCAAGCTTCCGACTTCAATTACTCCCACGCAAAGCATTTAATAATAATGAAAATGAAATTCTGATATATTATTAATTTATAGAATTAATTCAAGTTTTCTATTTTAGACTCTGAGTCTAGCGAAAATGTATTGGTTTTACAATAATGTTTATTGTTATTATTATTTTTTTTATACTGTAACAACAATTTCCACCTACAATCATGCTCCGTTAAATCATGCTCAAGTACGTGTGGCATCATTTCTGAACGAAAATATTGTCTATGTTGTCTTTAGGGATGTTATTTTTTGATTTTCTCAGCGGTTTTCATTATATCTGCGTAAACCCAGGATAAAACGTAAGAAAAACGAGAAATTTACGAAAATAATACTTTTTTTTTCACTTTTGGTGTTTGTTTAATTTCAGTTAAAAACATTATTTTTTTCGTTAAAAATGGTTTATCGTTGCTTACAAATATCCATTAAATTCCCTTCTCTATCCTACCTCCCCAATTACCAACCTACAACAGTGGCTGCACCCGTCCCCATTATTCTAGGACAGCTTTTATGTTTTTTTTTCTTCATAAGAATGTTAATATCAAATTTCAACGAGATTCATATGAATATGATGGCTTATAAAAACATGTATAAACGAACTACTTTCAGAATCGTTTTTCGTTAACAATGATTAATCGTCGTGCACACGGATACACATTGAATTCCTCTCCGCGTCCTACCATCCTAACTTCTCACCCAAAACATTGGCCCACCCATCGTCCATGCGCCCGAATCTTACACCGGACCTATCCGCCGGCTACGGCACCGGTCCCCGTCCATTTTCTCTGTCGTCTCCACGTTTCTCTATTGCCGACTCGAGCGCACGACCGTAACGTACGTGCGCACCTACTCGCGGTCGCTCTGCGCGTAGTCGATTATTCTGTGTCGGGAAAACCGGTAGCGCGGCCGCGGTGTTAGGGCGTCCGGGCCGAATAGTCTGCCGGCGGCGGTAAAATAGTGTACGTGCACCGCAGCCGCCACCGAGTCAAGTGTCAGCGGCACCGGCGGCGGCGGCGGCGGAGGCGGCGGTTGTTTGCACAACATCATCGCAACACATGCGCGCGAAACGGTCTCGTCCGAAAACGCAAACAAGCGGTCCACGCCGACGACGGCGGTCCATATCGATCTGCGTAGCCGCGTAGAGGAGCGCGCGCGGCAGACCGTGTACGCGCGACAATCATAATACTTCCGGGCGCGCACACGATTTTCGCCCCCCGCGGAAGTATATTGTGTGTACACTCGAGAGGGGCGGCGGAGGAAAGCCGGCAGAGAGAGAGAAAAAAAAGAAAAAAACAGAAAAAAAACCGCTAAAACGACCGTCTATTTACGTAAGAGCGTCGCGAGTCGGGCTACACCGCGAACGCGACTCGCGCCCGTCGCTTCGCCGCGTTTCCCGCGTGTCGTCGACCCGTGTCCGTACACACGACCGCCGCCGTAAAACAACAACGGCGCGCGGCGGCGGCGGCGGCGACGTCGTCGTAGTCGTCGTCGTCGTGTACCATTCGCGGCGGCGGCGGCGGCGGCGGTAATGTGCCGGCCGTATTGTTTACGGTATAGGTTTTCGTATATTTATTCAGCGCCGTTTTCGGGAGCGCGCGTCCGGGGGCCGGGAGGCGGCTCGACATCGGTTAGCACTCACGCCGGGGTTCGCGGGCGGCCGACAACACGTGCCGGCGTACTCCGCCGCGTTTCCGCGGCCCCGGAGCGGCGGGACGTTACAATATCGCGCGCGCGTTCAATTAACCAGAACAAATGGAATCAGTCGGCTAAGCAAATAAACAAGGACGCCGGCGACACCCCTCGTCGGAACGCCTCGCGCCGCCGCCGTCCCCGCAGCGCGAAGACGCGCGGGCGTTTATTTATTATAATGGGATATCGTACGCCGCGGTATCGCACACACGCGCGCATAATACCGCGCGTTGTTATTGTTGTGCGCCGCGGGCCGGAAGAGCGGGGCGGGCGGCGGCGGCGGCGGCGGCGGGAAAAGTCATATCTCCGGGGCGCGTTCCGCCGGCCTGTTCGGACGGACGCTCGCGCCCCGGCCGCGAACAAACAAACACGGCCACGCGTGTGTGCCTAACGCGGCGGCCGGCACCGCGACGAGACGTCCGCCGCGGCTAATCGGAATCGAATAAAAATCGTCCCGCGGCACCGGCACCCACCTACCGGCCGCGTGGTTTCCCGGCCACGTATTTATCGGAGCGGTAGCTCGGTGGAGGGTCGCCGGGGCGGGGGGAGGGGCGGGGTAGGACGAATAGAGATAATAGATACAAACCCCCCACACACCCTCCCCTCGGAGTCATTTTACGTTCCGGGCGGTAGAGACGGAGCTATTGCTGTCGCAACGCGTTTCGTTCTTCGTTCTAGACCGCGGACACGTTTTTTCCTAGTACACTGGCTCAACAACTTTTCCGAAAGCTCTAGTTGTCTAGATTTTATTTTTCGATTTAAGACAACGTTTTTTTTAAATAAAACCACTCAAGTGGGAAAACGTACGGTTTTACGATTTCATTGTTTTAGAAAAACGCGGACGACGTTTTCTGCCAGCAAAAAATATGATTTAATCGAAAAATCTCAAGGCGCCTTTTCTGTGGTCTTTTTGTTTTACTTTCTTACGGTACTGTCGCCAAAACTTTTAAGCCACTTTTGAGCTTTTAAGGAATTTTAATTTTTGCGATTTATTCTCCTGTAATTCGGTTATACATACACGTAGAGATTTGAAACTTGGTAATAATATTTGTATTGGACATATCTAGACGCGGTAAAATTTCTAAAATTATCGAACGACTTTTTTTTTTTTTAATAAGCGTTTTGAAATCAAATTTAAACGAAAATCGCAAAAAAAAAAAAAAAATACGGCACTTTAAATTGTGTATTACCGAACTACGCTCGGAATCTTCTTTTGTCAAGCAATGGCTTATCGTTGCTTACAGATATAAATGTAATAACCTTTTGTATCCTACCTTCCCAACTTCTCATCTACAACAGTGGTTGCGCTTGTGCCCAGAATCAGCTCTTTTTTTGTAATATCACGCGCCTTAATGCGTATATATCTATTCGCGGTCAAAAATCGATTCTGAGCGTAGCGATTGTGTTATATTCGGAGTGCGTTGACCCTCGTATAATAACCAAAGCGACCCGGAAATCGACGAAAATAAAAACGTACATGCGGTCGGGAAACACACTCTCAACAGTGTATTTTCCGATGTATTCCGTTTGTGTAATTCCGCCGATAGTTCATCGGTATAGTTCGCCGGTTCAATCCGGGCGTGCGGTTATGGAATCTAACCGAAATGACCGAACTGAAAAATATCCCGAATGAATATAGCCGCGTACAGCAGCGGGCTGCATGAGTTCCGCGTCCCAATAATCTTGTTTTACACTGATACCGTCCCGGGCAAACAAAGCGTAAATACCAAATCTGTTCTCCTAATAATGAGAAGGTCGACTAAATTACTATAAATCACTATATCGGTACAATAAAAAAAAACAATGAATCCAGACACGCGGACGTACAAATAACGACTGAAAAGTCCATGAGTTATGTAGTAGGTATTATCGCTGTATTTCTAAACAGTATTGTTGAAATCGATTATTTAGCGCGATAACTGAAAGCGATATTATCTTTATTTCTAAATAGTATAATATCATCATCGTATAGTCGCGAATTGTGTATTATATAAATATGTTGTAGACGATTTAAAAAGTGACGAAACTCGTACAACAAAATAAATTACATGGGACGCGATTAGTATATCCGTTTCGAAAACCCGGGACGGTACTTGTATATATTTATAATTCAAATTTTACGTTTGGGACGGTCCAGCCCAGCAGCATTGTCCCCGGAATTTTCGCTCTGAACCGAATTGATCCGATGATTGTTATTATTTATTAGCGTACGGTTTATCGATTGCGAGACAGGTGAAAATAATTTTTAATAAAACAGTGGGCCCATTATAGTTGTAGGCGATCAAAAGTCGGGAAAGTAGGGTTACTTAAAGTTCTTTCGGGTTATGTGGAAGATTAACCGATACCGCTATGGAAAAACGATTCCGCGTCGAATTCGGTTAGGCGCGTTTTGTAATGACGTAATTTCAACGGTTTTCGTCGAAATCCGATCTTGAAACGCTTATGAAACGACAAAGCGTCTACGGTAAGAACGACGAACGTCTTTATATTACGTTAAAACAAAAAACCGCTGTATCGAATGAATTTAAATCACAGTCGTTCAATACCAAGTGGCAATCCATTTCAGCGGGTACACTCATTTTCTCGGAAAGTATTTAAATTTTCGGCATTTGTTTTCTAGAACGTTTAAGAGAACAAGCAGCTCTACAATATCATATTTATTTAATTTGTTGTATCGCCCCTAATTTCGCGGGTGAAACCACGTTGACGAGATATTCCACTTTTAAGTTTGGGTCGAAGGAGGGTAGTGGAGTATCGTTTGTGCGGCGGTACGACGGAGCGGAGTGTTAATAATGTATTACGTAACTATGTACTCTCCTCCAACTCAAACTTAAAAGTGGAATGTCTCGACAACGGACCGACAGAAATCAAAATTTTCAACTCTCAAATTTAATTCAAGTAATATCCCATGTATTTATGGAATTCAATCAATACAGGTTGCGGTTTGAAAATCGAAAGTAAATAGTGGTTTTACCTCCAATAATAAGGGTGACAGAAAAAAAATTATCATATTAATATAGATATATCATCCTAAAGCAGCTTGTTTCTTAAATATTCTAGAAAACAAATTCCGGGGAAAAAGTTAATACTTTCCTTGAGGACGAGCGTACGCGCTTAAACGGAT